GCCATTTCCGCCTTTTGGCCGTACGTTCACTTTTAGTATGGTTTCCACGCAATCCTTTATAAATGAGACCCCAGGACTCTACCTCTGTCCAAACATAAGAGTAGACTTGGTTTCAGCCTCGTTGTAAACAGATGGCGAGCAGCAGATGATGATGGTGGTTCGACAGTTTCCTCCCAAAGAGTCCTGCAGAATTCTGGTCATCTTACTGTCTCGGTAAGGGACATGGGTTTTCTACAGAGATAACAAGAGTGCAATATCCATCTTTAAGGGTCAAATCAAGACATTAGTTAACATTTGTTCTTATTTCTGATTCATAGTTTCATTTCTAAATCGTACAGGAGAAAAATACTAAAGATGTTTGCAGCCTGAAATCTTACCATGACCAGACTAAACTGAACAGAGAAGATTGTGAATGAGCTCAATCTTGGCAACAATGGACTGTTCTCTAAATGCTTCTGAACCCTGAGGCAACCTCTGAAATAATGTGAAGGAGCTTCTTTCCACATGAAAACTGTTCTTAACATGAACAGTCCAGACAACTAGAACATTCACACTCAAAAATTTAAAAAATGGACTGTAAAAAACTAAATTACATACATTACACTATGGAAACAGTGACAATAACTACCTCATCACATCACTGAGTATAATATTTATCTGTGCATTACCCCTTTACCTACCTAAAAACAAAAAATACACATTATACATCGCAGGTTTTCTATTCTTCCCTATACTGTTTTTGCACAATTTGCAGCACTGAGCCTTAATTCTGTTTTGTTTTGTACTTGAAATTTAACTTGAACTCTACGTTGCACACAAAATACATGGAGACAGTGATACTAGTGGAAAATTTCATTTCTATCTTTACAATTTGCACTGTAATACTTCTATACGTAACCCTAACCACAACACAGTTCTTCTCTCCAGTCACGTTTAAAACCCTTTCAGAATCCTTTGTTTCATTTATGCTGTCCATTATACAGTATACCTGTATGTCCATTATATACCTGTATGTCCATTATATACCTGTATGTCCATTATATACCTGTATGTCCATTATATACCTGTATGTCCATTATATACCTGTATGTCCATTATATACCTGTATGTCCATTATATACCTGTATGTTTTGCATTATTTCTTATCATTTTGTATGTTCTGCATTTCAATTATTGTGTTGTTTTGTTTCCATTTAAACTTCAAACTTAAAGCCCCTATGTGTGCAGATCTGTCTCAAAAAGCAGTTCACTGCAAGTCGTACTGTGTATTACTGTGAATGTGACAAATAAATAGGATTTGATTACTTCAGAGTTGGTTTTGAAGAATCCAAGCAAACTTGTGTGAACTTGTTGGGCAGTGGACACTCACCGTTCCTTCACTCAAAGCAGAGATGACATTCCCCAGAGCAGAAAGAGATTTGTTGATGTTCTTTGCTTCATCCAAAACAGAACCTTCTGCTCCAGTTTTACTCACCTGAATAACAAAAACAGGTCCTGTTTATACAAACCTAATCTGAAGGACCTAAAACTCCAACCTAAGACATGAAAAACAACATCAAGGTGTCAGAAAGACAAGGATTGGAGACAAGAAGATGAGTGGAGGACAGATGAGAAACAAGTAGAGATCAGGTGAGGGACAGATGTAAAACCAGTGAGGGACAGATGTAAAACCAGAGGGACAGATGTAAAACCAGTGAGGGACAGATGTAAAACCAGTGAGGGACAGATGTAAAACCAG